CCCGCGGGCTCAGGCAATTCACTCACCTCAGCCTCCCAAAGGCGCGGGATTACAGGCTGAGCCACCGAGCCCGGCTGTATATTTTTTAAAGATAGGATCTTACTCCATTGCCCTGGCTGGAGTACAGTGACACTATCATAGCTCACTGCAGCCTAGAACTCCTGGACTCAAGCAGTTCTCCCACATCAGCCTCCCAAGTAGCTGGGATTCTAGGTACATGCCAACAGGCCCAGCTAATTTGTTTTTCTTTTTTGTAGAGATATTATATTGCTCAGCCTTGCGTCAGATCCCTGGACTAAGTGATCCTCACACTTCAGCCTTTCAGAGTGCTGGATTACAGGCATGAGACACTGTGCTGGTGCTGGGTCTATATTCCTTTTTTATAGAAATTTTTTATACTATGCTTTCAGAATTCAGTGTGATTGTCTTCCTTCCTTCCTTCTCTTCCCTCCCTTCCCTTCCTTCCTTTCCCTCTCTTCCCTTTCCTCTCTACTATTTCTTCCTTTCCTCCCTTTTCCCTCTGCTCCCTTTCCTTCCTTGCCTTTCTTCTTTTCTTTCCTTTCTTCCTCTCCCTTCTCTTCCCCTCCCTTCCCTTCTCTCTCTTCCCTTTCTTCCTCCTTTTCCTCCTTTTCCTTTCCTTCCCCTTCTTTTCCTCCCATTCCTTCCTTCCTTCCCTTTTCCCTTCCTTTTTATTCCTTTCCTCCCCTTCCACACTTCCTTTCCCTCTATTCCTTCCTTCTCTCCCTTCCCTTCCTTCTTTTCTCCCTTTCCTCCCTTTCCTCCCTTTCTTTCCTTTCCATCCTTTCCTTCCTTTCTTTCCTCCCTTTTCTTCCTTCCCTCCCTTCCCTTCCCCCCTTCCCTCTCCTACCCTTCCCTCCCCTCTCTCCCCCAGAGCACATTCTAGTTTGTACTAGCTACCTTTCAAGTGCTCAATACCCATGTATTGCTTGTGGCACCCATAGGCACTGACCAATCTAGGATTCTAATTGTGTAGGAAATGCACAATTATTCTTACAAAGAAGGCCAATAAGAAATTGTCTCTATAAGAAAAGTGTGGCCAGCCGTGGAGGCTCATGCCTGTAATCCCAGCACTTTGGAAGGATGAGGCAAGAGGATTGCTTGAGCCAAGGATTTCAAGACCAGCCTAGACAACATAGCAACCTTGGCTCTACAAAAAAATTTTTTTTTAATTAGCCAAGCCTAGTGCCAGGTGCCTGTAGTCTAGCTACTCAATAGACTGAGACAGAAGGATCTCCTGAGCCCAGGAGATACGAAGATGATAAGTGATTTGCTCAGGCTCTCACAACTGGAAGTAAGACTTGGGTGTGACTTCTAGTCCATGCTTCAGGTACTGTTGGATCTCAAGTTTAAGAATGCCCTTCAGAACTCTTATATAAGCCCTCTTAGAAATATTGTCTCATTATGTTCTCACCTTGATTGAGCTTCAAGTAGAATCACCCACATTAAACACCAGTGTCTGCTCCAGATAACTTTGGTTTGTTTTCTAAATGGAGACATTTGGGGTTTAGACTGTACAGGCCAGCTGAGGCCACTGCCTCCTGTTTTTCTATCATTCCCAGCTCCAAAGTGCACTCCTAGTTGTGTAGCCTGGGTATCTGCCATGGCTGGGGAGTTTACAAAGGTCTCCCATACTTAATTCATGGCATCTTAGTTTTGTTGGCTCATGCCAGTTTTCAAAGGTGGGATACCTTTGCTCTCCATATTTTATTTTGTGGTTACAACCTATTCTGCCTTTTCTCCCTTTCTCCCATGGAACAGACGGAAGGAGTAACAAAACGTTTGGCAGAAAAGAATGACTTTGTGATCTTTCTGTTTACACTGATGACAAGTAAGAAGACGTTCTTACAAACAGCAACACTCATTGAAGATATTTTGGGTGTTAAAAAGGTAAGCTGTGTCCTCCAGCAGGTGGTTGACCAGATGTGGAAGGCTGCCTCAGACCACTGGATTCTCAAGCTTAAGTAATATGCAGAACTCTTTTAAAAGAAAATTTTCCAAATTTCTAGTGTTAAATTATTTTTTGTGTTACTTACATGTGTTCAAGGGTAAAACTAGATTATACTCTTTTTATACTTATGGGTCTTATATGACTTTAAAGCCAAAACAAATATATAAATTGAATTCAAACTAACTATAAAACTCAAAACTTCAGATTGACTTTGTGAGTTTAGTGTGATAGCTAATGATACTTTGCTGGAATCAGGTTGCCCCTCTCTCATTACTGTGGGACATGTTCTTTGTGGCATCCTTAATGTGTTAGGTGCTGTGCAGTGACTCTGTTCTCCTGCCATGTTCTACATCTGACCTGCTGTGATATCTTTGTCTGTTGGGATCTGTTTTCCTTGATCATAATGTTTGGCTTTCACTTTCGAAGTCTGCCTCTATTTTTTCTCGTTAGTCTTTAACAAAGTTGGTTAGTTGACACCAGCACAGTAGAACAAATGTGAGCACCGAAGTCCTGCCACTTGGCCATAAAGTGGACATTCAAATGATCTGTAGTTTATTTATTTATTTTTTTGAGTTGGAGTCTCACTCTGTCACCCAGACTGGAGTGCAGTGGCCACTCCCGGCCACCACAGTCTTGACCTGCTGGGCTCCAGCGATCCTTCTTCCTCAACCTTCCAAGTAGCTGGAACTACAGGTGCGCACTACCACACCCGGCTAATTTTTTATTTATTGTAGAGATGAGGTCTCTCCAAGTTGCCCAGGCGGGTCTCGAACCCGCGGGCTCAGGCAATCCACTCACCTCGGCCTCCCAAAGTGCTGGGATTACAGGCTGAGCCACTGAGCCCGGCCTGATCTGTAGTTTAAAAAAGAAACAAAACTATCATAGAAATGAAAACACTAAGCTAAAAATTCCTCATCCAAGAACTCACCCCAAAAAATGCATTTCTAGACCTCTGTTAGTGACTCACTCTGTTAGATCTTTGGTGCAGTGGAGCTTATTTCTGCAGTCCTTGTCTGTCCTAAGTTTCCTTGTTCATTGCCAGTTGGCAGATTTCGTCCTCTTATTACCAAGCAGTCTTCTAGAGGTCACTCTTGTAGGAAAGAGGATGTCCACGTGTAGTCTGGTGACCCCAACTTTCATTTCTGTATTTTGCTGTGCTTTCTCCAAGCCTTGCTTGTCATTGCCTAGCACAAGTAGCCCATTGTCTGTAGGAACACATTGGAGATGTGTGCAGTTCCCAGACAGACCCTTTGTGTCTTTTGATAAAAAGCCTTTGTTATCTTTCCAATAATTTTATCCTTCAGCCAGTGTATGAGAGGGGCCTCCAGGATGGAAACTCCAGGCTCCCTGGTAGTCTCTACATAGCAGTCTAGGTTTCCTCTTTACAGCTTTTCTCACCTGCCCCTCATGCCTTGTTACTCCCTCTCATTCCTTTCTGTGTTGCAAAAATTGGTGATGAGTTCTACCAAACATTATGAGTATCTTGGTGCAGTTTGATGGGAGGATAAACACCATAAAGAAATTGGAAACCCAAACCACAAACTGGAAAAAGACATTTGTAACTCATATAGCTAACAAAGGATTGGTATCCAGAATGTATTACAAATTATTATAAATCAGCATGAAAAAGACAAATAGCCAATAGAAGAGTGGGCAATTTCATGAACAGGCATTTCATAGAAGAGAAACAAATGGTCCATAAATATAAGAGAAGATGCTTAACTTCATTGATAATCAAGGAAATGCAAATCAATACCTTAGTGAGGGAGAGAAGGAGCAAATGTTGGTGAAAATGTATGTTAGTGGGAACACATATGCTGCTGATAAGTTTTTATATCAGCAGAATATGTTTATAATCGTTTTGTAGTTGAACCTGTACCCCAGCACTTAGGGAAGTTCTGGCATGAGGGCTGAGGCATCAGGATTTTTCCATGGGTTACCTACAACCTGTGCCTGGGCATATTCTTAGGGAAGTTCAATCCTAAAACAGTGATTCTTAGAAATGAAAACTAGATTGAAACCAAGAGAGTTATGAAAAGAATTCATTGGGTCTACCAGCTAACTAGAAAAGATCAGAGTATATTGCATAAGGGTATTATTTGAAGAAATTTTAATTTCACATTTATATATGTATTTATATACTTCTACATGTATGCTTACTGGGTTGTTTGGAAGCCACTGCCCTAGCAATACTTATGCACATGTGCATCAAGAAACACATAAGAACGTTTGTAGCATCATTGTTTCGGAACAAAAAACGGAATCCATCAACAGAAGGTATGGATGTACTCTCTTCACACAATGGAATATTGTAAAGTAGTAGAAATGAATGAACTGTTGCTATAGGCAGCAGCATACTGAATATTAGAAATGATTGAGTAATAGAAGCCAGTTGCAGAAGACTTTAGATAATATATCATTTTTATAAAGCTCAAAATAAAAGCAAATCATTCATTTGATAAAACTATTTTTTTGATGGTAAGGCAGTAATAAACAATTCATGATAGTGGTTACTGGAGGCAGAAAGACAGAGATGCTTTAGGGAAGGCACATACAGCTGTTCATTTTGTTTTCCTGTATAGTGTATGTTGTATGTAGTACAGATGAAATGAAAATTAAAACAAACAGAAATGAGTTTTAGGGGGCATGGGGCCTGATTTGGGACCCATATACGGAGCTAGACAGGCTGGAGGAATTGATGAGCTGAAAGTCAGGTTCCATTAGGAACACCAGTAACATAACATTTGTTGTATACTTGGGAAGGGCAAAAGTGGAAGCAGCTGCTCCCAGATGCCCCCTCCACTGCAAACTCCTGTCCTCCTCTGTGGCTAGAAATAAGAGGACTATGGGATTCATGAGGCTTCAAGGAATCATTCGTTTGTTCAGGATACATTCTCTGATACCCTTGCTAACAGATCCTATGCACTGAGGCTCTGGAGAGAAGATAGGACATACCCCTCCCTCAAAGTAGTGTCAGATTATTTGGGAAATAGATACAGCAGTAGATAATTAAAAGTTCATGTGACACATGCAGTGAAAGAGAAATAATCAGTTCAGTAGAAGTTAAACAAATTAGCAGGATGAAGGATAGTAGATATTATCTGAGGAATATAAGGATGATTCAAAATGAGAAAAGCTCATGTAGTACATGACATTTACAGATTTTTAACGAAGAAAAAAAGGATATAACCAAATAACAGTAGACATTTTATAAACTCAATTCTCATTTATAATGAAAGCTAGGAATAGAAGGAAAATTCCTTAACTAGATATAAGGTATCTATTAAAACATAGCAAATATTAAACTTAATTTTGAAATTTTGGAAATGTTTCTATTAAAGTAAAAAAAAAGATAAGAATTTCTGCTCTTACTCTAGATAATGGTCACATGTACATGTTCACAAGGAACACCTGTAGGAATAGTCATTGCTATACTGTTTAATAGTGAAAAATTGTAGTTTATCTAAGTATGTATTAAAAGAAGAATGGGGCTAGGTGTGACGGCTCACATCTATAATCCCAGCACTTCAGGAGGCCAAGGTGGGAGGATTACTTGAGCCCAGGAATTCAATGCTGCAGTGAGCTCTGATTGGACCACTTCACTCCAGCCTGGGAAACAGAAATCCTGTCTCCAAAAAAAGAATGATTAAATTGTAGGATAAAACAGTGGAAATGATTGAATCAGAGCTACTTATATCAATGTGGATAAGTCTCAAAATGTTGAGTCAAAAGTTAGATTATAGTATGATATTATTTATGTAAGGTCACACAGTTGCAAGTTGCAGAGCTGGGATTTGAACCTAAGTGGTCTAGCTACTGAGCCCCATTTTTAGGAGAATCCAAAAGAGAGGCACATCCAATCTCTTGAGTGAACTGAGCTTGGGGATTGTTTTGTGTCTTCTGTAGGAAATGATCCGACTAGATGAAGTTCCCAATCTGAATTCCTTAGTATCCAATTTCGATCAGCAACAGCTTGCTAATTTCTGCCGGATTCTGGCTGTCACCATTTCAGAGATGGATACAGGGAATGATGACAAGCACACGCTTCTTGCCAAAAATGCACAGCAGAAGAAGAGCTTGAGCTTGGGGCCTTCTGCAGCAGAAATCAACCAAGGTAAAGTCTACAAGTTCTCAGAATATTTCTGAGGCCCTTCCTAAATCATCTAGCTCTTCTCAATATCTCTAGAAATTCATGCATGTGAGAGTACACTTAGACTCTGTAAAATTTGTGTTATTCATTATTTTGAGGAATGAGTTTCATAATTTTCATCAGATTTTTTTAATGTTCTCAGACTCTCAAAAAAGTTAAGAACCATTGTTTATCAGAATTACAAATGCATGTACTTTCTGATTTACTAAGCCTCTTCTGGACCTTTGTTTTATAGATATGATACATATATATCCTAGTTCCATTTTGCCCATGGTTTCACTTACCTGTGGTCAACTGCAGTCTTAAAATATTAACTGGAAAACTCCAGAGAGAGACCACATTCACATAACTTTTATTGCAGTATATTGTTATGATATACTTTATTATCAATTATTGTTACTCTCTTACTGTGCCTAATTTATAAATTAAGCCTTGTCATAGGTGTGTATGTATAAGAAAAAACGTAGTATATATAGAGTTTGGTATTATCTGCCATTTCAGCATCCATTGGGGGTCTTGGAATGCATCACTTGAGGATGGGGAGACTACTGTACAAGGTTATTCATTGCAACATTATAATTACAAAAGACTGGAAGCAACCCAAATGTTCATCAGTAAGAGACTACTTAATTTATAGAATACTTATATATTATATTATTATATTATATATAATATATAATTATACTTATATAATTTATAGAACACTGTGTATAATATGATAGTTTTTGTATTAAGTCAGAGAAGGGAAATTAAGGCCATATGCTTGTTTGCTTATATATGATATGCATAAAGAAACTGAAAAGCCTGAGAAACCTAAAGTAGTTACCTGTTAGGAAGTGGCTAGTAATGATGGATAGCGTCAGCAGTGGGAGTGGGACTTAGTGCATTTTTTAAATGGTGTTTAATTTTTAGTACCAAGTTATATTACTTTAAAAACAAAAACAAAATGCTATTCTAATCAATCTACCCCATCTGTTTTTTTGTTTATTGGTTTGTTTGGGTTTTTGGTTTTTTTTTTTATCAGTAGCAAAAGAACTATGTTCTATTGATAAAATAACTTTGCCTGCCCAGATTTGGGGGAAACTGGCCATATTTCTGTTTTGGCCATAAGAGTATAAATGAGTCCGGGCTCAGTGGCTCAGCCTGTAATCCCAGTACTTTGGGAGGCTGAGGTGAGTGAATTGCCTGAGCCCGTGGGTTTGTAACCAGCCTGGGCAACTTGGCGAGACCTCATCTCTATGATAAATAAAAAATTAGCTGGATGCAATAGTGCATGATTGTAATTCCAGCTACTTGGAAAACTGAGGCAGAAAGATCACCAGAGCCCAGCAGGTTGAGGCTGCAGTGGCCATGAACGTACCACTGCATTCCAGCCTGGGCAACGGAGTGAGACTCCAACTCAAAAAAAAAAAGAGTATAAGTGAGTCATATTGGAACTGAAACATTTATGTGTCTTAAAAGCTACGTTAACAGGCTAAGAATATTGTTTATTGCATGTCACTAGCTGGGCACAGTGGCACATGCTTGTAATCCCAGCACTTTGGAAGGCCAAAGCAGGTGGATTGCTTGAGCCCAGGAGTTCAAGACTAGTCTGGGCAACATAGCAAAACCTTATCTCTACAAAACATTAGCCGGGTGTGGTGGCATGTTCCTGTAGTCCCAGCTACATCAAAGACTGAGGCAGAAGGATCACCTGCGCCCTGGAGGCCGAGGCTGCCATGAGCTGCGATCGTCATGATTATGTCACACTGTATTCCAGGCTAGGCAACAGAGTAAGACCCTGACTACAAAAAAAAAAAAAAAAAGTCACTGTGTACCTTAGGGTACACCAAATACAAGATAAAATTATAAAAATTTATTATTAAAAAGCAGCAGTAGAAAACCACAGTCATCCAGAGGTAGCCTTGATCACACTTATGAACACCAGCTAGCTTTAACTGTAGGTTGTTAGGGAATATAATTTCACGTGTTTTAGTCATATGTAAAGACAGAATATGTGAACTTGGTGGACCCCAGATTAGATTTTCCTTCCAGATTTGCTTTTCCTCCTGTATCTACAAATATAAGGCCTTCCTTGGTCTGTGTAGCTTTTTCTTCCCACTCCTCCTTTCTTATGACTTTTTAGGGAGTTCTAATCTTAGAAAATCATAAAATGCTAATTTTAAAAAATATGTGAATTTCATTATAACTAAATTATACTAAGCAAATGATACCGCAGAGCCGTTGTATACACCTGTATAAACACTGACAAAAAGTAACATTTGTTAGTTCCTGGTACATGGCAAACACTGAACTAACTGCTTTATCTAGAAGTGCTTTTATTTAATCCTCCAAGCAGCTCTGTGGAATAGAAATGAGCATCTCCGTTGCAAATATGAGGAAACCGAGGACCAGAAAGGTTCAGTATTGGATACCTGTGTATGCTGATACACTGAGCAACTTTCATCTTTTAGTTTCCCATTAAAGGAGTCTTTTCTGGCAGATAATTTTTATCCTATTGGTACTGATTACCTTCACATTATCTATTTGTAAACTGATTTAAGTAAAAACCAATCATGCTTGGTAATTCAGGTATTCTAGTTAGCTGGGTTTTTTTTGTTGTTGTTGTTAAACAAGAGAGTTGACCCCAAGCCCAGTTTTCTTTGACATGGGAGATTTTTTTCCTTTATCTTTTAATCAGTCTCACTCTGTTGCCCAGGCTGGAGTGCAGTGACATGCTCACAGCCACCCCAACGTCGACCCACTGGGCTCAGGCGATCTTTCCACCTCAGCCTTCCAAGTAGTCGGAACTACAGGCATGCACTACCACACCCAGCTTATTTTTTGATTTATTGTAGAGAGGAGGTTTCACCAAGTTGCCCAGGCTGATCTCGACCCCCTGAGCTCAGGCAATCCTCTTGCCTTGGCCTCCCAAAGTGCTGGGATTACAGGCTTGAGCCACCACGCCCGGCCTGCTATGGGAGATTTTTAAAGTCTTTATAAGATATCTAAGCTCACTTTCATACCTGTATGGCTAACCTATTACATAATCTATGTGTGATGTCTGCTTGTAACTTTTTGGGATAAAGCTTAAATGTTGTAGTTTTAACCCATGAGTTTGTGACCTTTTCTCACTCTTACCACAATTCCTACCCCTACCCTTTACCATATGCATTTTTCTCCATTTGAATGCCCTGGAAGGCCAAGCTGGTGAGCATAATTAAATCATGAGTGAAAGATTAAAAATCTTAGTCATTCTTTAATTGAATTCCAGTATTGAATACTTTTAAGCAGAAGTACGTGTATTAGTCAGGTTGGGCTGTCATAACAAGATACCTTAGACTGGATGGCTTACAGGGGTACCAGTTGATAGCCTGTTAGGAACTGGGATGCACAGCAGGAGGTGAGCAGCGGGTGAGTGAGGTTTCATCTGTATTTACAGCCACTTCCCATCACTCACATTACTGCCTGAGCACCATCTTCTGTCAGATCAGCAGTGGCATTAGATTCTCATAGGAGCGTGAACCCTATTATTGTAAACTGCACATGCGAGGGATCTATATTGTACGCTCCTTATGAGAATCTAATGCCTGGTCTGAAGTGAGGAGAGACTGCAAATACAGATTAACATTAGCAGTGAGATTTAACTGCACATAACCACCCCTGTCCCACAGTCCATGGAAAAATTGTCTTCCACAGATCCAGTCCCTGGTATCAAAAAGGTTGGGGACCACTAGCTTGAGTAACAGCAATTTTCTCACAGTTCTGGAGGCTAGAAGTTCAAGATCAAGGTGCTGTCAGGACTGGTTTCTGGTGAGACCTTTCTTCCTGGCTCATAGACAGCTGCCTTCTTATTGTATCTTCACATGACACATGGTCTTTCCTCTGTGTGGATAAAGAGAGACAGAGATATCTCTGGTGTATTTCCCTCTTACAAGGACACTAGTCCTATTATTTTAGGGCCCCATGCTTATGGCCTCATTTAACCTTGTACTTCCCTATATTAGGGTTCTCCAAAGAGACAGAATCAGTAGGGTGTAAGAGAGAGGATTAATTAGGGGAGTTGTCTTACACAATCACAGAGGTGGAGAAGTATCATGGTAGGCCATCTGTAGACTGGAGAAACAGAGAACGCAGTGATGTGACTCTGTCCAAATCCAGAAGCCTCAGGGAAGCCAACATTGCAGCCACCAGTCTGAGGCCAAAGGCCTGAGAACCCTAGAGAATACTGGTATAAGTACCAGAGCCCCAAAGTTGAAAGACCTTGGAGTCTGCTATCCAAGGACAGTTAGAGAAAAGCTTCCTGCTCCAGAAGAGAGTGAAAGTGAAAGAGAGCCTCTTTCTGTTTTCCATCCCTCTGTCCCCCACCACACTGGTTCCCACCCACATTGAAGGTGTGTCTTTCCCTCTCAGTCCACTGATTCGAAACTTCTGGAAACACCTTCACAGACAAACCCAGAGACAGTATTTCACCAGCCCTCTAGGGATCTCTCAATTCAGTCAAGTTGACACCTAAAATAACCCTCACACTCCCTAAAAACCCTGTCTAAAAATACAGTCTAATTGGGGGTAGGGATTCAACATACAAATTTGGAAGTGGGGATACAATTCCATCCATAACTGTATGGAAAACTGAAGTATGTAGGATGCTGCTAAAAAGCTTTTGTTTTGTTTTTAATGAACTGTGGCTGTGAGCTAGTTTTATTGCCCAGCAAAATAATGACTTATGCTATCTTCTTGGAGCTCAGATAATAAATATTTTTTAAACCTTTTAAAAATAATTCTCAGAACCACCAGTTGTTCCTTCTGTTAATTCAGATGGGAACAAATGGTTTTATTCTGGGGGGAAAAACATCATTCAAGATTTCAGTCAGAAATGTAGATGAAGCCATAGACCAGATGATTATCAATTTTTAGTTGACACTTAGCTGAGAGGGACTGATTTATGCACCAGAAAGCTGGAATGCAGGGCCTGAAGTGCCAGAGGAGATTATATGAGTATGTGGGAAATATTGATGTTTCAACAAATACAGAGGAGAGAAGAGGTCTGCTTTTACAGAAATTCTCCAGTTTAACACTGTGGGAGTGGGAGCATGAGAGAGTCCCTTTAACATTAACCAACAAGGTGTGATAGCTACTGATAAAGCCGTATGATTTACATGAACTGTTGTTGCCCTGGTGCCAAACCCCCAGGATTGTATAAGTTATTGTGTATGAATCGACCAGTGATTTTTCTGGGGAGAAGGTCTATAGCTTTCATCAGCTTTTTAAGAGATGAGTAACTCACAAAAGCTCAGAAATTCCTAGGGTGTGAAGTCAGAGTCTCATAACTCGTGAGTGCTGGGCACATCCCATCTGAAGAAATGTATTCAGTGTGCAGGAATAGAGAAGACTAGGTCTGTAAGGACTGTCCTGGGAGGAACAGTTAAAGAAACTGCAGCTATTTTAGCTGGAGAAAAGAGGCTTAAGAATAAAAGTCACCTATGAAGATTTTAATGTAGAATCCAAACTCATTTGTTTTTAGAAAAAGTAATACACACCTAAGGTTTTAAAAAGCTCAAACAGTACAAAAGGAACAGCAGGTATACAGTAGAAAGTTTGTTCCCTTCCCCACAGTAACCTATGATCAGTTTCCCATATGTCCCTCCAGAGATGCTCTCTACATGCCTAACCATGGGGTGGCATAGGGAAAAAAAGATTGACTCCTGCTATTTGTACACTTGGTAATGTAAATAGATCATTATGAAATATGCACTGTTGTCTGTTTTTTTTTTTTGCTTTTTCTTGCAAAGCAGTCCATTCCAGTAAATATAGAATTATATGATTCTTTTTTACAATTACATAGTATTTCATTATATGGGCATACCATAATTTATTTAATCAGTTCCCTATGTGTGGAAATTTGGTTTATCTCAAGGCTTGGTTCTTATAAATAACAAGCTTGTGTATAGACTAGATGTTCTCAGTATTTATACTTTAAACTTTGATAAGTGTTGACAAATTACCCCCTCCAAAGGAATACTTTTTCATCTTGCCACCCTGTAGTCTCTGCACCCTTCCCAGTACAGAGCAATTTCAAACTTTTTAATATTTGTCAAGCTAAGTTAAAATATGGGGTCTCAAAAAAAAGCTATTTCAATGTATTTTTTAAATTGAAGTGGAGGTCACATAACATAAAATTAACCTTTTTTTGGTTTGTTTGTTTGTTTTTTGAATTGGAGTCTCACTCTGTTGCCCAGATTGGAGTGTAGTGGTCGCTCCCAGCCACCGCAGCCTCAACCTGCTGGGCTCCGGCGATCCTTTCGCCTCAGCCTTCCAAGTAGCTGAAACTACAGGCGCGCGCTACTACGCCCGGCTAATTTTTTGATTTATTGTAGAGATGAGGTCTCGCCAAGTTGCCCAGGCGGGTCTCGAACCCGTGGGCTCAGGCAATCCACTCACCTAGGCCTCCCAAAGCACGGGATTACAGGCTGAGCCACTGAGCCCGGCCTAATTAACCATTCTAAAGTGAACAATTCATTGGCATTTAGTACATCTACAGTGTTGTGCAACTGTCACCTCTGTCTATTTCCAACATTTTCATTATTCCAGAAGGAAACCATATACACATTAAGCAGCTACTCCCCATTACTCCAACCCTGGGCAATAACCACAGTCTACTGTTTTCCTCTGTGGAGTTACCTGTTCTGGATATTTCATATACAGTCATACACTATCACTTTATAATGGAGATATATTCTTAGAAGTGTGTAGTTAGGCAGTCTCTTCATTGTATAAATATCATAGAGAGTACTTGCACACACCTAGATGGTCTGTCCTGTTATACACCTAGGCTATATGGTACAGCCTGTTGCTCCTAGACTACAAACCTGCACAGCATGTTGCTGTACTGAATACAGTAGGCAATTGTAACACAATGATAAGTATTTGTGATCTAAATTTATGTTTAACTTTTTAAGGAACCTCAATGTAATTAGCTTTTCTTTTTTAAGTGAGATCAAACATCAAAATTAGCTACTTACTAATTTTGTAGGGGATAAAAAGGAACTAAGATTATTTGCCAAACTCTATGGTGGTCAGTGAATTTATATGACTTCATATAATCCTTTTATTAGTTTGTACTAATTAGTAAAAACTAATAAAATTACTTACAAATTGTTTTCTTTAATGTTCTATTCTTTTGAACTTTAAAGCTTTACATGACTGGGCACAGTGGCTCATGCCTATAATCCCAGCACTTTGGGAGGCTGAGGTGAGAGGATTGCCTGAGCCCACAGGTACGAGACCAGCCTGGGTAACTTAGTGAGACCTCATCTCTACAATAAATTTAAAAAAATTAGTCAGGCATGGTGGCGCATGCCTTTAGTTCCAACAACCTGAAAGGCCGAGGCAGAAGAATCACCTGAATCCAGCAGGTCGAGACTGCGGTGACCGTGAGCGTGCTACTGTACTCCAGTCTGGCTGATAGAGTGAGACTCCAAATAAAAAAAGAAAAAAAGGATTACATTATGAAAAACTTTACGTAATGTAAAAGTAGAGGCTATGCACAGTGTCTCATGCATGTAATCGCAGCACTTTGGAAGGCTGAGGCAGGAGGATTACTTGAGCCCAAAAGTTCAAGACCAGCCTGGGCAACATAGTGAAACCTTGTCTCCAGAAAAAAAAATTGAAAAATTAGCCGGGCATGGTGGTACATGCCTGTAGTCCCAGCTGTTTGGGGTGCTGAGGTGGAAGGATCGCCCGAGCCCAGGAGGCTGAGGCTATGGTGAGCCATGATCATGCCACTGCACTCCAGACTAGGAAACAAAGTGAGACCCCAACTCAAAGAACAGAAAGTAGGGAAAACACCTGTAATGATCCCCATTTACTCATCACCCAGCTTCAACACTTGTCAACTGATGACCTGTCTTGTTTATCTCTACTCCCTTTTACTCTGTACTTCATCTTGGATTATTTTGAAGCTAATCCCAGACATTGTGTAATTTCATGTGCATATATTTCAGTATTTCTACAAGATAATCACTTTTAAAAAACATAACTCTATCATTGCTATACAAAAAAGTTATTAGTAATACCTTGATATCCTGAAATATCTATTCATTGATTTTTTATTGGGTAGAACATTCATGTGGTTCCAAAAAAAATCTACAGATTCAAAAAGGTGTTCATTGAAAACTTTCCCTTCCACTCTTATTCCCAGTGATCTAATTCCCTTTTGTTTGGTTGTTGGACATTTGGGCTATTTCCATCTTTGGCTATTTCCCATGCCAACCACTGCTGTTCATTTCTTTTCTGTCCTTCCAGGGAGATTTAATATGTACAGGTGTTCGTCTCATTTATTTTTTTATTTGTTACTAGTTTTAAAATTTTTTTGTAAAAATGAGGTCTCTGTGTTGCCAGGCTGGTATTGAACTCCTGGGTTCAGGTGATTCTCCCGCCTTGGCCTCTCAAATTTCTGGGATTACAGACATGAACCACTGCCCCCAGCCAATCACATTTTAAAAAAGGTTTAAATAATGAAGTCAGAATTTGAACTGATATTCTCTTATACTGATCAGAATTTCCACCTTACTCATTGTTGTAAGTAAATGAGATTGGTGGAAATATGAATTGGGTAATCAGTTTCTTTCTTTAACCTAAGAATATGTTTATCTTCTTATTTTTGCTACTAAGTGTATGTTACAGGAAAATCGGAAACCAAAGGAGCATTTTAATCCTCTCCCACTTAGGAACAACCAAACTAAATACCTTAGATATATATATATATGCTTCCATTTTTTTATGTGTATATTTTAAAGAAGCAAATATTTAAACCTTTGAAGAAAATGATCTTAAACCAGTACTGTTAAATAATTAACTTTTTTTCTCTAGCAATTAAATTTAAACAGCTGTTTTGAGTCACTGAATAAAGATATATATGTCATTATTCTTAGTTCCTGTGTTAAATTCTATTGTATGGCTGTATCACTGTATTTAATTCATCTGCTATTGATAAACATTTATTTATCTTCAACTTTTTGCTACTACAGAAACCACATCCTTGTACAGATATCTTTTTATATATGACTGGTTATATTCTTATGGTAAATTCCCAGAACCACACCTGTTGGCTCAAAGACACACTAATTTAAGTCATAAAGGTTATTCTCATTTCTGTTTCCACAAATAGATGAAAGAGAGCTTGTTTCTCTGCACCTGATAAAATTTTTGTTTATTTCTAAAACTTTACTACTATTTTTTCTTGACTTGGCATTTTATTTTATTGGTTGATTGGGCTTTTTTTTGAGTTGGAGTCTCACTCTGTCTCCCAGCTGGAGTGCAGTGACACGCTCCCACCACCGCAGCCTCGACCTGCTGGGCTCAAGAGATCCTTCCGCCTCAGCCTTCCAAGTTAACCGGAACCACAGGCATGCACTATCAGGCTGGTCTCGAACCCGCGGGCTTAGGCAATCCTCTTGCGTTGGCCTCCCAAAATGCTGGGATTATAGGTTTGAGCCACCGCGCCTGGCCAGCATTTTATTTTAAAAGAGCAGCTCTAACTAGCTGCTATTACAGTAGGAATCATTCCTATCATGCAAATTGTATGTTGAGGGCTTTAGAACTGATTTTGCTGATCTCTCTTTTGAAAATGTTCTCTCTTGTTTTCTCCTTGGCAGCTGCCCTTCTCAGTATCCCTGGCTTTGTTGAGCGGCTTTGCAAATTGGCGACTCGAAAGGTTTCAGAGTCAACGGGCACAGCCAGCTTCATTCAGGAGTTGGAGGAGTGGTACACATGGCTAGACAATGCTTTGGTGCTAGATGCCCTGATGCGAGTGGCCAATGAGGAGTCAGAGCACAATCAAGGTACTAAGGGTGGGATTTCCCCTGAGTGAAAGAGTTTTTTCCTTGGGTCCCTAAGGCCATTCTTGACCTCTTTTTCCAAAATGGATTAACTTGAGATTTGCTCAAAGTAGTATTTTTCTTGAGGCAGTTCTAGAACATAGCTATTAAGACTTTTGTTAATTATTTATAGAAACCTCATTGAACTCCCTCGATGTGGGACTGATGGCAGAGATGAGATTAGTTGCAACTGTGTCTCAGGAACTGACTGGAACCAGTATCCAGAGCATTCTTTACTATTTATTTATTTAAGAGACAGAGTCTTGTTATGTTTCCCAGGCTGGACCCTAAACGCCTGGGCTCAAAGCAGTCTCTTGCCTCAGCCTCCCAGGTAGCTGAGACTACAGGCAATTGCCACCACACCTGGCTCAGAGCATTCTTAGGAACCTAGAGACTTCCTTCTTTTTCTCTTTTTCTTTCTACATGTTTCTTTAGTCTTCTTTCTTGCTGTTCCTTGCCTTTTTCTGGTCTTAATGGGACTAGGCAAGTAGGCTGTCTAGTAAATGAGTAGACTCCTATTCTCAACTCCAGCTTCTTGGTGAAGGACTCTGGTCAGTTTCCCACCCCTGAAGCATTTGACTGTGGACAGCAGGATGGGGTCAGATTGTATAAACCCAGGAATTCTCAGCTCCCAAATAAGGAATGGGTGTTTCACTAAGAGGGGCAGGATACCAGCTTTTCTCTGCTTCAACTTATATGTTGAAGCATCAACATATGAGGTTAGAGGCTCCCTTTTCCCCTCAAGTTCCATACTACACTCACAGTATGGAAGCTCTCTCCCTGATACTTCAGGCCAAGAATACTATCATTACAATTGCCTTTGCTCCAACCGCTTGTATGTGGAGATTACGACCAGGGATAGACAAATTCAGAAGACTAGAGGTTACTAACCCTGCTCAGAGTATTGGCTCAGCGAATTTGCCTAAGGAGAGAAGTAAAAAAGTCAGTTAAGAGTAGTGTGGGGAAATTCAAGCCTAAGGGTATTCTCAAAAACAATGGAGATTTTGATAGTGAGCAAATAAAAGGAAACCAGTATCTCTTCTTAGGCTTTGGTCCCCACCCCCACCTGGGGAAGTAAATAGTCTCCCTTCTCTTTCTCTAATTTACTTTTAAATAAACCTTTCTTTGCCTCTAAAAAAAGAGAGAATAAGCTAAACCAGAGGCCAACTAGTTCCCCAGAGAACCAGGGAAAGAAACAGCTAAGAAGAACTTTCCTGAGGTCAGAACAAGCTCTAAAAAACTACCCCTTTAATTAAATGAGACTTTGGATCAATTTATACTCAGGACATTGCTAGAAACATTGGAGAATTCAGATAGCAATTAGTAAATCCTAACAACTGGATGTGATTCCAAGAGAGACAGAGAAACCATGGAAAGAACCAAAGAGAGCCTTGCTAAATAAATGTCATCCCCAGGAAACTCTGTGCATGCCCAAGATTGCTGCTGCTACCTTGAGGGTCCTGAGAGAGAGTGGTGAGAGATTAAGAAAGACACAGACACAAAGACATAAAGAAAAGCTGGGGCCCGGTGGGACACTTTCCTCTGATCAAGAAGTGACCCCAAACTAGCTCAGTATGTTTACTTTATAACCAAGCACAAAGGAAGATGGGAGGGGTTCAAGGTCTATGAGGGAGCTATAACAGAATTTTGTTGCTACCTAAATGGCAAGCTGTTCCAGAGTTATCATGTTGTTGCCAAGGCTTTATCTGTACTATTTGCCTCTAGATGTGTGGATTCTGGGATGCCATTCCATGTAGCAGGCTGCATCCCTTGCTCTTTGGCTATGATGCGGTGCAACCAAGTGGGACCTTACCTTCGCTTAGGGCCTTGCCTTTGCTTGGGGCTTTGCCTTTGCTCGAGGTCTGCTGTCCAGACAGCATTCATCCACTCCCCACTCAAGATAGTCTAGCCAGGTCACAAATAAATAAGCAAACAATAGCAATAAGTCCTGAAGAAGGGAAAGGGGAACCAGTACCCAGATATATTACAGTATATTACCTAAATGTCCAGTTTTTAACAAAAATTATGAGACATGCAAAGAAACAGGAAAGTGTGACCCATATATAAGAAAAAGCAGGCAACAGAGATGGCTAATGAGAGGCCCAGATATCATACTTAATAATGACTTTAAAGCAGCCAATATGAATATCTAAGAACTGAAGGAAACTATGTTTAAAGAAGTAAAAGAAGCTTTGATGATAATGTCTTACCAAATAGACAATAACAAAAAGAAAATATAAAAGAGAGCCAAGTGGAAGTTCTGGAGTTGAAGAATATAATAATTGAAATGAAATATTTATTAGAGGAACTTAAACTGGCAAAAGAATCTGCAAGCTTGAAGGTAGATTAATAGATGTTAAGCATTCTAAAGAACAGAGGGAAGAAAAAAATTAAAAATGAACACAGCCTTAGAATAAGGGTGGGACAGTGTTAAGTGCACCAACATTCACATAATGGGAGTACCAGAAGGAGATAAGAGAAGAAGTAGAAAAAAATATTCAAAGAAATAATGCTGAAAACTTTCCAAATTTAATGAAAACATTAATGTATACATGCAAGAAGGCTAATTTTCCAAGTAGGAAAACAAAGAGATCCACACCCAGGCACATAATATAAATACTGGAAGACAGAGAAAATCATCAAAGTAGCAAGAGAAAAATGGCTTGTCATGCACAAAGGTATTCCAGTGTGATTAACAGCTGACTTGTCATCAGTAATAGTGGAGGCCAGAAAGCAATAGGATGATATATTCAAAATACTGAAAGAAAAACACAAAATGTGTAAACCAAGAATCTTATATCTTATAAAACTTCATTTCAAAAATGAAGGTGAAATAAAAACATCCTTAGATAAATATTGGAATAACTTGTTGCTAGTAGATAAATATATGGAAATTAAGCAGCACCACCTTATGAGAAATATCAAAGAAAGTTCTTTAGGTTAAAAGGAAGTGATTTCAGACAATATTTAAATCCACATAAAAAAACAAAGAACACCAGTAAAGGAAATTATGTAATTATAAAAGACAGTATACATGCATATTTCTTATCCTTAATTAGTTTTAAAAACCATATGTTTATAATTATGTATAACTATGTATTTATAATTATACTGTTGAACTTACAACATACCAGAATGTATTATTTTGGGCAATAACTGCACAAAGAAAATGGATGGAACTAAAGTTGTATTGGAGTAAGGAAATGACATCAGATGGTAACTTGAATCCACAGGAAACAGTGAAGATAAACCAAAATGGTAAATAAGAAGATAAATATGGCCGGGCTTGGTGGCTCAGCCTGTAATCCCAGCACTTTGGGAGGCAGAGGCAAGTGGATTGCCTGAGCCTGCAAGTTCAAAACCAGCACGGGCAACTTGGCGAGACCTTATCTCTACAATAAAAATCAAAAAGATTAGCCAGGCATGGTAGTGCGCACCTGTAGTTCTGGCTACTTGGAAGGCTGAGGCAGGATTGCTGGAGCCCAGCAGGTCGACTCTGGGGTGACTGTAAATGTGCCACTGCACTCCAGCCTGGGCAACAGAGTGAAACTCCAACTCAAAAAAAAAAAAAAAAGATGGTAAATAAAACTAATTATAAACAAATACCTTTTTTTCCTTTTTCAGTCTTTTTAACGTATAAAATCATATAAAGTAATAATTTTAACAATGTGTTATTGGGTTGTTGACATCTGTAGATGTAATTTGCATAACTGATGGCACAAAAAGGGAAAAGAAGGACTAGAGCTCTGTAGGAGCTCTGGAATTAAGTTAGTATAACTCTGAAAAAGATTCTGTTATGATGTATGTGGTAAGCCCTAGAGCAACTGCTAAAAAAAGAAACTTAAGAAATACCATGAGGAAATCATTAAAGAAATGGTTATCTCTTCTTAATGGATTTATTCTTTTATTATTTCAAAATGTCCCCAAAATATTAACTTAATGCAAAAGAAACACTACAGGAGAAATAGAGAAACAAAAAACCGTGAGACATTAGAAAACAAAAAGTGGAATGGGTGAAATGACAGAAGTAAATTCAGCTTTAGCCATAATAACATTAAATGTAGATGGGTTTTAGTAATTCATTCAAAAGACAAAGATTATCATATTGGATTAAAAAACAGGATCCAGTTATATGCAGCCTACAGGAGAAACACTTTCAATACCAAGATATAGATAGGTTGAAAGAAAAGGATAGAAAAAGATGTGTATCATGCCAACAGTATCCATAAGAAAGCTAGGGTGGCTGTACTGAAAGAGGCTTAGAAACAAAAACTATTATCAGAGATAAATGGAATTAATGGGGACATTTTGAAATAATAAAAGAGTAAATCCATTAAGAAGAGATAACCATTATAAATGTATATGTAGCTGGGCTCGGTGGCTCAGCCTGTAATCCCGCGCCTTTGGGAGGCTGAGGTGAGTGGATTGCCTGAGCCCACGGGTTCGAGACCCGCCTGGGCAACTTGGCGAGACCTCATCTCTACAATAAATCTAAAAATCAGCCGGGCGTGGTAACACGCGCCTATAGTACCAGCTACTTGGAAGGCTGAGGCGGAAGGATCACCATAGCCCAGCAGGTTGAGGTTGCAGTGACCAGGAGCGGCCTCTGCACTCCAGTCTGGGTGACAGAGTGAGACTCCAACTCAAAAAAAAAAAAGAAGCAAAAGCTGACAGTTTTTAAAGGAGCAGTAGTTCAAAAAGAATAGTTGGAGACCTTAATATAATACTTTCAGTGATGAATAAAACTAAGTAGAAGATTAACAGGGAAATAGAAGACTTTAGCAGTGCTGTACACTGGCAAAGACTAATAAACAACTAGAGACCACTTCATCCAACAACTGTAGAATACAAGTTTTTCTCAAGTACACATGGAACATTCTAAAGATCATATGCTAGGCTGTTTTTTTTAAAAAATGCCTCGAGAAATTTAAAAGGATTAAAATTGTGCAAAGTTATCATCTCCA